TATTGTCAGGGTGATTAAGTCGAGAAGAATGAGATGGGCTGGGCATGTAGCGCGCATGGATGGGACAAGAGGTGTGCACCGGGTATTGGTTGGGAAGCCTGAGGGGAAGAGACCTCTGGAGAGACCTAGACGTAGATGGGAGGATAATCTCAGGCGGGATCTATGGGAGATAGGAGTTGAAGGAGACTGGATTTGGTTGGCCCAGGACAGGGTCCGGTGGAGGGCTTTGGTTAATTCGGTGATGAACCTTCGGGTTCCCTAAGCCATCTAGTTATTATTATTATTTTGGGGGGCTATCGCCCTGATTATGGAGGCAGCAGGCAAATACATTTTATGAGCCATCCTAAATTTCTATACACGTATTACGGAAGGGCGGCCATGTTGGGGAAAAATGCTCCTGTCGGACGAAGATTTAAGTAGAGATATAACAGGAGTGAAAAGAGGCTGAGTGCTGGCTTGTTTCTGTTCCTGTCAGCCGTAATTGGAAAGCGATGTGAATCAGAAACAAATTGTTGTGTGGTATTTTGGCGATCGTCATGAGTTAGAGACATTGAGGTCTTTGGATCGAACCATATTGAAACCACATGTGACTGTGCTGTATCTACTACTGATGATATTGGAGATCACATTTGCACTGTTGAGGGTCTTTGTGAAGGGGGATGCTGAGGAGAATATTTTTCTTAAGAGGGATGAAGTGACGGGAGACTGAAGAAAACTGCTGTATAATTTTTTATTCTTTGAGGAAAAGAGAAATGCGTGCAGAATTTTATGGTTTGAAATCTTTAAGGGACGTTATCACTCAGAAGAGACTGATATATGTGGCAGGATAATATTAAAGTGTATATTAAAGAAAACTAGTCGGAAGTTGTGGTCTGAATCCATGTGGTTTGTGATAGAGACCAATGATGGGCTGTTGTGAATGCGGTAATGAACCTTGGGGTTACATAATCGCGGTTTATTTCGTGACCATATGAGCGAATGTCGGATTCTAATAGACGACTCCGCTGTGTGGAGTTGTTAACAGCGGGTGCAGAAAGGGGCCTCGGTATTGACGGCCTGCCGACCACTGGGTTCAAACGAGGGTGTTCCAAGGTGTGCCAACTTGCTCCCTCCGAAATGTTGCGTGACGGTGCGTATAAATCCTGGCAGTTTGTTCACCCCGCACGCGTATGTGGCAAGATGACAATCGATACCTCTGTTTTACCGTGCGTGGTGGCAGTTGGTCAGACTGTGGGCTCAGTCTGACAGTGACAAACACGATTGACTCACTCGGTGGAGAAGAGTCCTTCTTCAGGAGCTAATAGCTGCTCAGGAAAATCTCCGTCTTTCACGGAAACCGAATGATCATTGCCGTGTTCACAAGAGCCCGCCACTGGTTCCTGTTCTCACCCAGTTGAATCCAATCCGCATCCTCTCACCCCGTTTCCAAAGATCCATTTTAATATTATCCTGCCATCGAGAATTAACACACGTTCTGTTAGTGAATACACCATGTTAGCATCTGCACAGCTTCTGAGCATCTGGCGTTGTCAGCGGCTTAGCAACTACGATGACTTTGACTCGAGTGTCATGGGGGAAATTGGGGGAGTTTTTTTACACAGGGAAGAACCTACTTATGGTTGATTTTTGTACCGGTGTACGTGGTTACTTTAAATGACACACCCTGTATTATCTTATTTATGAAGGCAGAGAGGGCGAGATTGTAAATGCTTGCAAAGTTTCAGTTGAAAATCCTAAACAGAGGATGTCACTCAGATAACGTAATGGTGAAGATAATATTAAAATGGAAGTTTTGTGTCTCAGGACACGGGCCTGCCGCGGGTTCTTATGGTCGTGGTAAAGGAACTTCTGTTCCGTCAAAAAGCAGATAATTTCTTAGAATAGTTTTTATTTTTCTCATATCCAGAAGTCGGTAGCTGGTTCATCGTGTTTTTACTCCATCGCCTTTTGATTTATTTAACGATAAATTTTCTGACATTTAGTGTCCCCACCCCAAAGAATGTGTTTTACATTTCTGTTCTCTCTTGCGAAATAAACATTTAAAATTTAAATTGTGTCTGCCTTTGTGGCTGTCATTGTTAAATTCTGTTTGTAGCTGAACATCTACCTGTTGTTAACCTCTCTCTGTCACGCTCAGAATACTTCGATCCCGTTGCGAAGGGAGAATTTTATAGCAAAACTCACCCCCTCCTCAATGAATTAAAAAAAAATGAAGATAAGGCAAAGTGCATTACATCTGTTATCAGACAACTTGAAAGACTCAGTGCTGACAATTTAATAAAATTATAGAACGAAGTTTTCAAAACCGGCATCCACAAGTTTTACACCTTTTTTTATTTTCGATCTATGAAATATTTTATGACAAATTATTATTTGAACTTTACTGTAATGTAGTGCGTAGTGAATCGATATGAGAATTAATCGAATCTGACGGACGAATTTTTTTTTTAATTTTTTTTAATTTTTTTTTTTGCCCTCCGAAAGAAAATTTGATATTTTGGAGACGATGTAAGGAAATGGGTGAACCGATATTCCTGTTTTGTGCGTTAAATGGATGAGGCGTTTTTGCTCCTTGTAGATAGTTCTTAGTGACGACAACAGTGGACTACATCAAAGTGTCTTTCTGCATCTTTGAAGTGTTTAGTTATTAAGATTTTTTATGTAAATGTTATGTTTTATTATATCCTGAAGCCACTAACCCACAATTTGAAATTTAAGTTAAATTTAAATATATTTTGTTCGGGTTTCGTGGCTGATCTATTGTGGGAAATCAGCAGTTAACTCATTGGAACGGTGTTTCTCATTACAAGCTGTTCTTTCCTCAAGTGGTCAAACAATTTCCCACCGTTTTGGAACCCGCATATTTTAACCTTGTTTCCTGCCACTGACCCATTTAATTTCCAGTCCACACCCTCGTGCCCTATGTCCGTTTTAATATTATCCACCCAGCTGCAACTATATATGTCTCTCACGTGGTATTTTCCTCCAGTACACACCCTCGTGCCCTATGTCCGTTTTAATATTATCCACTTTTGCAACTATATATATCTCTCACGTGGTCTTTTCCTCCAGTCCACACCCTCGTGCCCTATGTCCGTTTTAATATTATCCACCCAGCTGCAACTATATATATCTCTCACGTGGTCTTTTCCTTCCATATTCGCATCTCACCCATGCGTGCTACGTGTCCCACGCATCTGATCCTTAAAAGTATCAATTCTCCTGGCATTTTGTAACCTGTTAATTTGAGAAAGCGTCGTTAAATGTGGTGCCTTTTTTTTTTGTAGGGCCGCCGGTCTGGTGGTCCCCGGTTTGTTCCTGATGCCTGCCAGAAAGGGACTGCTAGCGCCACAGAACACTTTCCTCGATACCATAGCAACGCGGTTCGATGGAACTCGTGAGTAAACACTTATTCATGTATTTGTACTTTGTTTCACGTCGCATTTCCCGGCCTGAGGAAGACCACGTAAAACTTCAGTTAGGATATCCGGTATCCGGGCCGAGTTTTGAACCCGGACCTCCCGAATAACCATGACGTTCTAACATCAGTTATTAATCTCACCGTTCAGAACAGGGATTTATTTTTTTTTTTTCCTCTAAATCATTCTATACGCTTGAGCAAGTCTGTCCAATGGGATGCAGGATCGTGTAATCTGGTAGACGATGACCGACGTTTCATAGGAACTTGCTGCCTCCATCATCAGTGTTAGCATCACCAATGGACAGACATATTCTTATTCGTCATCGTCTGCTTTGTAGGCTTCTTTGGAATTTGATAATTTTGTTTGCGTGTTTGGGTTTACAGCTGCTTAGATCTTCTGCACACATTTGAAATTAAAGTGCATAGATATTCATGAAGTTCCAGTCTTTGAATGAGCATCGTGTAATGCCTTCATATCTTCCAGGTGTTGTGTTTGCGCTAATATTTAACCTTTAATGCCAGAGGATTATCTAAATAACATTACTGGAAAGTTGTAATTCGTAGAAGAAGAGATTTCACATGCAAATGAGAAATTTCCACAGATTTTTACCAAAATCCATGAAAGTATGTTTTAAACGTCATTCTCCGTAATTTTTACTGATTCGTCTGTTTGTATGAAACTGTTTGTTGAGAGAATTCGCGTAAATTTAGAAGGCTTTGAATTCGGGAAAACGTCCATACCAAATTTCATCCAAATCCGTCCAGCTGTTCTCGAGTTGGATGATGCGGACGGACAGACAGACTTGATCAGCCCTGTGTTTTAATTTCGTGAACGTCGTTCGAGGACACCGTGAGTTTCATAACGAATATGAAGTCTGTAGTCGAAATGCATTAACAAATGATGAAGACAATTATTTGATGAAACTAAAGCGATATTTCTCCGTAAGCATTTATTTTGTTGTGTTTCGGAGGCGAATGGCATTTAATAGCAGACAAAGCTTTTTTAAAAACTTTGACAATAAAAAGTATAATTTTGTGTTTGTCTCATGAATTTTATTTCGATGTTTCTAATTCTGATTTGTGGCTCTTACTTTTATTGTTCGGTCCTCATGTAAAAGTGTCTGGAGTTTGATTTTTTAAAATATGTGTTAATTATGCATTTAACACTTTAAATGCTAGAAATTTTAACTTATACATTTTTTTTAGAAATTCTAGTTCTTTTTCATTTGTGTCTTGGTAATTATTTCTGTAAGTGCGTAATGTTGGTTACATAAATCCGTTCCATTGAAGCGGAATTCCGCTTAGATAGCCTGCATAAATCTTCCGCTTTCCGAAGTTTTAATGGTAATCAGAAACGTCGTCTGGAAACGTGCCTTATTAAGCCTCACTGTACCATCGCTGTCTTCTGCCCCATTCAACATTTTGAACAGCTCATTTTTGTCAGAGTAGAGGAATATATATCATGTTACGCGTAATTACTTTAAAATTTAACAACGTAGACGTGTTTTTGCTTTTATCTGCAGTTCGCGTTAGTTTAATATATCATGTATTGTGTTACTCTAGTGCAATTTTTTAAAAATACAAATGAAAATATCAGGATACCATAATAAAATGGAGGGAAATAAGCAAAGGTAGCTGATACATCGTCACGCAAACATTGGTTTTTGAAGGATTGTTTATTATATAACTCGTCACCAAGTATGACATTTAAACTACTCAAATTTTTATGTACATTTAATCGATTCTGATTTCTTTCAAATTAATGTTTTTCCTTCCCATATTTTAATAATACAATTAAAGTATTTTATATTCCAGTCTTCGATGTAAAATGGCAAATATTAAAATACACAAAATTATAATTTTACCTGTTGCTTTGTATGGGTGTGAAATTCGGTCTCACACTTTGAGGGAATAAAACAGATAGGGGATGTGTCGAAACAGGGTGCCTAAGGGAAATTTTGACCTAAAGAGGTATAAAGTGAGAGGAGAAAATGTTTACTCTTAACCAAAATTTATTAGGAGGACATGTAGAACGCGTGGATAAGACGAGAAATGCTTACAAATTTGTGACAGGAAATCTTTAAGAAATGAGACCACTCGGAAGACCAAGGCGTATATGAGATGGTAATATTAAAATGGATCTTATGAAATAAGGTTGGGATATAGATAATTAATTATATATTTTGTAATTAATGTATTTTATGTTGGGCTTAAGTATTATCTTTGAAAGATGTTTGAAAATTAGTACAGTCGAACATATTTACCTCCTTGCCAGAATAAAGTATAACATAATATCCCACCTCCAAGACAATCCGCATATGTAGTTTAAATCCATTTACATTAATCTTGAAATTGTTGGATTTTACTGGATTTTACCATGATCCATTAACCCTTCCCTAAGTATAAAACGCAGGTGATACCTGAAGTGAATGGAACTTTAAGATTTATTTTGGGCAATGCGTGATTATCGCGTCTGATACGAGATGTCCTTACTTGTTTCTTGATATGTGATGGTTTGATAAGACTATATTGGCGATCTCTGATCTTATCAGACCAGCATATGTATCAAGACACATACTCGAAGGTCTGGTTTAAAGTCAGATTAGCTGTGACGTCATGGGAGTATTATTGAATAAAATAAATGTATACAAATCAGCAACCATTTCACCCCGTACGACAAGTAGCATCGTTTAACAGGAATCATATATCGGGTACGATGGAATCTAATCGATTATTTCAATGTATTTTACAAATAGACTATAAATCTTCTTTACAACAGATCGAAAGATTTTAATTTAACAAAAAACACAAACTGAATTAAGCACAGTCCTTGAGAAGCTGATAGTCGCTCAGGCAATCGACAAAATCTCCGACCATTTAATAGACTAAAAATTAGATTACAGTATTATCAACAGCCCACCACAGGACTCTGTCCTGAGCCACATTAATCCAATCCACAACCTTCACACTTTATTCTTAAAACCCATTTTAATATAATTCTTACATCTAGACTGAATCTCTTAAAGTGGTATCTTATCATCGAGGTTTTCGACTAAATTTTACATTCCTACCATGCGTGTTACATGCCACTCAAACCCCATGTTATTTGATTAGATTAATATTTAGTGAAGAAGACAAATTATGACGTTTGTTCTATTTGATAGTCATTTATAGTGTTTTGGGTGTACTTGGAGTTTCCCGCTGACTTTTAATAAATTCAAAGCCTTTCATAATTTTTTCACAAAGTTATCACTAGCATCAGAAACAATGTTGAAACACTTTTAATTAATTTGTTATGTTCTGATCGACAATCCTTCTGACAAAAAAAGTAATATTCAAACGAATTGTGATTTCAACAGTATCCATCACATAAAGTGCATTATTACGTAATGAATCGATAATTTTCCCGACACGCTAAATGGCTTTGCATACATCATGTAACCTATGTCGAGGCGACATATGCTTGGGATATGAACAGTGACGTAGTCGGCTTATACGCAAATACCACAGTAGATATCGTTCAGTGATGCCAACGTTCCGACTATAGTGTTCGTACGTCTCCCAGACAGTCTGTTGATCGTAGCATACCTGTAATACAGAATCCTGAAGAAAACTACGATGTTAGGAGATCCATATTTTTGTACTCTTAACCGGTTATTATTAGGATGATCAAATCAACGAGAATTAGATTAGAAGGGCGTGTAGCACGCATGAGAACTGAGAAGTACGTAAAGAATTTTTGTTGGAAGGCCTGAAGGGTAAAGATCTTTCAGAACCTAGGCGTAGTTTGGAGAATAATTTTGGATTCCATAAGAGGTGGAGAATTTTTTGATTAGCTGTTATATTGGTTTCCCAAAAAGTACTTAGCTCCATGGATTTAGTCGGAAACTTTTTTATTAATCGATGATAATTTTAATTCCATGTAACGTAAGGGTTAGATGTTCTTTCTTCGGACGAGAGATGACTTTCTCGCACCCATGTAAAAGATTGGGTAACTTTTCTGTATATTTAAATTTATAGTTTTTTACGCACGAAATTGAAAGATAAAAGTTTTTAAATAGGAACAAAAATATCCCAAATTGTATCTTCCCTTAATTACTTCGTCATAGCTTAAAAGCAGGGCTGGCCTGTACTACGACAATGGTATAAAAATTATCAGAATGAAGCTATAATTTAATTTTCGTTCGTTTCACACGTGAAAAACTTGTAATGCCGCGTTGCCAACAAACATTACGGACCGCAGATAAGACACGAGCAATCAATAACTAGCATTACATCATGGCGACATGATGTTGTAGGAAGCTGGGATAGAAATTATTTAAGAACCCAGTCCGTACCGCGAAGAAAACACTACACTTCACCATTACAAAGATCAACTGGTTAACGCTGTTTATAATGAGAATCATACGAAACACATACATACACTACGTAGGAATCTGAATAATATTTAAAGATTCAGTCCGTACCGCGAAGAAAACACTACACTTCACCATTACAAAGATCAACTTTTTAACGCTGTTTAAGGAAATAATCACTGTTTATAATGAGAATCGCACGAAACACATACATACACTACGTAGGAATCTGAATAATATTTAAAGATTCAGTCCGTACCGCGAAGAAAACACTACACTTCACCATTACAAAGATCAACTTTTTAACGCTGTTTAAGGAAATAATCACTGTTTATAATGAGAATCGCACGAAACACATACATACACTACGTAGGAATCTGAATAATATTTAAAGATTCAGTCCGTACCGCGAAGAAAACACTACACTTCACCATTACAAAGATCAACTGGTTAACGCTGATTAAGGAAATAATCGCTGTTTATTGTGAGACTCATATGAAACTCATAAATACTCTGTAGGCAAAATACAGAGTTATTAATTGTTAAAGCAGGTGGTACAATACGTTCACTTGCGACTGACCTTAAAATGGTTAAATGTAGAACGTAAAAGTGCTTAGTAAG